CTACCAGAGCTCAAGCCTCTTAGGCCCTGATAATACAGTTTACGGTAAACTGCTCAAGAAGCATTTTCCTAAGACTGTATGCTTTTGTTTCCAGGAAGAGGTGGTGAGAATTGAAAATCAAGGGACAATATATGTTCAACTTTGTTGGATTTTTGGTTATTTTTTACTCTTTATTATGATTTTAGCAAGAGTTTACACAGCATATTGGTTCTCCATTCAACAGTTCATACATAGTTTGAGTGATAACATTGGATGCAGTCCCTACAGTGTACCAGCACTATTCCATTTCCTTCCTGTCTACCGTTTCCATTTGTCCTTCTTCCCTGTTCCTTCCTGCTTCTGAGCTTTAGTCTTGGGCCATGCTGCACTTTTACTCTTGTTATGGTTGAGTGTCCTAAGGAGTATGTACCTCCCTTGGTGCTGCAGTTCACCTTTAGGGCTGTTGTTTGGCTGAAGTTGAGTCATACAGGTTAGATCAGTTTTAGATTTTAGATTTGAAAGATGACTACGGGACATAGTATTGGGGGCACTACTTGTCTCTGTTAGATGACTGGTAAGTCTGGTCCTTTTTATGATTTTGAGTTTTGTTCCACATTTTTTGTTACTCTATCCAAGACCTCCTATGTGTTCCCTTTAGCGTAGTGGTTACGAATCAGGTCAGCAGTTCAAAACTACCAGCTGTTCTGCAGGAGAAAAATGAGGCTTTCTGCCGCTATAAAGATTTACAGGCTCGGAAACACTGTGCAGGGTCTCTATGAGTCAGAAGCGACTCCACGGCACATACCCACCAATATAGAGCCGTACACAGTGGTAGTCTTGCACTGTGTAGTTCTTCTGGTCCCATGATTATAGAGGCTGAGGTGTGTACAGTCCACTAGTCCTTTGAACTAATTTATTTCCATGCCACTTTGATTTTCTTCACTCTTATTTGCTCTAGACAATAAAAGAACACAATAATTGCACTTCAGATAGCCAGTGTATTTGCTGAACTTTGGACTTTCCTTTATATTGCCTGCTATTTCTTTCTTGGTTTCGATCTCACTTAAAAATAAACTAGGATTCATTAATACTTAGGGGTCTAATCAAAGATAATTTGAGTACTTAAATCTGTAACAAACTAATGCCCCTCCCCTCCCAATCAGAAAAGATTCGGGCTATTCATTAACACACTCTGCTCAGGCATTTCTCTCTATTAAGATTGTCCTTGGTAGTCTCTTCCCTCATAAAGAGAAAACAGGATGATTTCTTGTTGTAACTGACTTTCTTTCACTGAGATGGAACATTGGTTTATCATCTGGTAAATAGTACTTTCTGGTCCATTGTCTCAAAGATCAGTGTTGAAAATGTTTTAAAGTTAGGCTAAAGATCTCAATAAAACTGAACAAAGAACAAGACACTTTCAAATCTTAGACCTGTTCTTAATCCAACCATATCAACTGCTTGTTATTATTAAGCACTTTAGACTTGGTTCCAGCTCATCTGACTGAAGCGCTCCCTGGCCCCGTACCATCACCACAGTCTGGGTTTGATTCCATTGTTGCAGCTGCTGTGCCAGTCATCTTGAGGAGGGTCTTCTTTTTTCATTGATGCTCAACTCTTCCCAGCATGATGTCCTTTGCCAGGGACTGTGGTCCCTCCTAATAATCTAAAGTATGTGAGACGAAGTTCTACCATCCTTACTTCTAAGGAGGATTCTGGCTTGTCTTTCTTCCAAAGCAGATTTCCTCATTCTTGTGGCAGTCCATGGTGTATTCAGTATTCTTCTCCAACACTATAACTCATCTGCATCAATTCTTCTGAAGTCTTCCTTAGTCACTGTCCAGCTTTCACATGTATATGAAGCTATTGGAAATACCATGGCTTGGGTCAGGTTCACCTAAGTCCTTAAGGTGACATACTTGCTTTTTCACACTATAAACAGATCCTTTGCAGTAGATTTGCCCAGTGCAATATGTCATTTGATTTCTTGACTTCTACTTCCATGGACATTGATTATGGATCCTAGTAAACTGAATGGGTAACTTTGCAAAGAATGAGAATTCCAGAACACTTAATTGTGCTCATGCAAAACTTGTGCACAGACCAAGAGGCAAATATTGGAACAGAATAAGGGCATGTGGCATGGTTTAAAATCAAGAAAGCTGTTTTTTTCAGGATTATATTCTTTCAGCGTATTTATTCAATCTTGTGTGACACTGTAGGATAAACACTTGACTGCTAACCACAAGATCAGCAGTTCAAACCCACCAGGTACTCCTTGGAAAGCCTACAAGGGGTCTGTATGAATTGGAACCGACTCGATGGTACTTAACAACATTTAATATGTATGGAGAGCAAATAATCCAAGAAACTGAACTTTATGAAGAAGAATGTGACATCAGGATTGGAGGAAAACTCATTAACAATCTGCAACTGCAGATGGTACAGCCTTGCGTGCTAAAACTGAAGAGGACTTGAAGTAGTTGTTGATGAAAATCAGTGACTACAGCATTCTGTAGGGATTACATCTCAACATAAAGAAAAGAAAAATCTTCAAAACTGAACCAGTAAGCAACATCATGATAATGGAGGAAAGATTGAAGTTGTCAAGGATCTCATTTTACTTGAATCCACAATCAGCTGCCTAGTTGGCCATAAATGTACTCTTCTTTCCAAAAAGAAATAACAGTTCTTGAAATTTTCCAGGAAAATTCCATTATTTCTTTGTTTAAAATTGGTTTCCATTTAAGACTAAATGCAGAGTTGGCAGAGTTTCCAAGTTCCCATATGCAACCATACTCTTCTCCTAGCTAAATATGTGTTTGCAGAGATGGTTCCTTGTGGATCGGGAAAACCTTCCCTCCTCCCTTTGGAAACCTTTCATCTGAAAGGTCCCTGCCTCCCCTCTATACTTGTTTTTCCTGGTGGATGTTCTGTGGCATCAGTGCCAACTTGCCACCACAGTTGAGAAGCAGCAAAGGTATTTTTATGAAATACACTTCTTCCAGATAAGGCCAGGGTGACTTCCTCCCTCTGAAGAGGCTCATTGACCTTTCTTTACCTACCACTCTTGGGGAGGCTATAGTATTTACCAAGGTAAATGTAGAGAAAAGAACTTTGACCTAGTAGCTGTGCACTCAGAATCATTGGATGGGTCATTAAAAATGTCTGGGGTCTCACTTTTGTTACCTAGAAAACAGAGTGTTATTGTTAAGTGTTGTCAAGTCTGTTCCGACTTGTAGCGGCCCTGTGTAGCGTTTCTGAGGAGTGGCTGGTGAGCTTGAACCATTGACCTTGCAGTTCAAACCAACCCGCAGTGCCACACCAGGACTCCAGAAAACAGATTAGTTGGATTAAAATATCTGTAAATGTGCATACTGCTCTAAATTTATTTCATTAATGTTCTTGAGGATCTTAGCTACTCTTGAATATATGTAATTTACCCTTTGGTTGCCTGGTTGTGTGTCGTGGAGTCGGTCTTGACTCATAACAACTTTGTATAAGGTTTCTGAAGCTATGAATCTTTATGGAAGCAGAAAGACTAATCCTTCTCCTGAGGAACAACTGGTAGTTTTGAACTGCTGACTCATAACCACTACACTACTAGAGCTCCTTGTTGTTAAGTGCCATTGAGTTGATTCTGACCCATAGAGACCCTGTATAGGGTTTCCAAGGAGCAACTCGTGAGCTTGAACCGCCAACCTTACAGTTCAGAACCTTTGCAGTCTGACACATTAAGCCACAGAGCTACACCAGGACTCCACCAGAGCTCCTTAGCTCTCTAGATATTGTGGACCTAGCATTTCTCCAGTGGGCATGAAATTTCTGCCACGAAAGCACCCCCCTTTTTTCTTCTTATGTCTACTTAATTTAGGATTGGTGTGGTGCTGTGAGTTAATGCGCTGAACTGCAGTCAGTTTGAACGGAAAGGTTGGCAGTTCACACTCAACAGTTGCTCCTCAAAAACCCTATATAGGGTCACTATGGGTTGGAACTGACTTGACAGTACTTTACAACATCAACAAATTCCGGATTAGACTCCTGGTGTGGTGCTGTGGGTTAATGTGCTGGACTGCAAGGTTGGTTTGAACCACAAAGTTGGCAGTTCAAACTCACAAGTTACTCCTTGGAAGCCTTATACAGAGTCACTAATGTAAGAACTGACTTGACGACACTTAACAACGATATAGGATGCATTGACCATGGTACATAATAGGAAACCAGTGGTTGAAGGGAATGTTTTTAGAGATTCTGGGTGAGTCAAAAGGCCCCAGAAATGTTTGTTGTTGTGTTAGGATCATTGTTTAGTAAGTATCTGGTTGATGTTCCCCAAGCATCTTGTCACGGATTGTCACAATTTCTGACTCACCAACTTTGAGTTAGCTCAACTCCCAGACTATCACAGAGACAATCCAAATCTTCCTTTTATGTTACAGGGTGCGGTGAAGATAGCATGGACTTTGAAGTCGGCCAGAGTTGGAATTTTACATTCTAGCTATTTCTTTTTTCTGACTTTGTGATACAGCTTAACCCCTCTTTACCTTCAAATCTTCATGTATAAAATGGCAATACTTAAGTACTTAAAAACATTTTAGGCTCTAAAATGGTACAAACAGAATGGAATAAATGAGAATGAAGGTATGTTGTAAAAAAAACAACCAGTATCACTGAGTATTTTGTGTAGAAATTGTTGAATGTTAATTTGCTTAAACACAATAAATATTTTTAAAGCTTTTATTGGATTAAATGACAGGTGTGAAGAGTGTCTCATAATGAGAACACCTGGCATTTGTATACCTCTTTACTGCTTATGAAAAACCTTCATAAAAGTAGTTTTATTGAAGACGTTGTGAAGGTGCTTTCTTGGGTGAAATATGAAGGACACATTTGAAGAGGAATTGAGACCTGAACCAGATTTGCTAAGTAGAGTCCCTGGACCTATGGAACTGACCATGCCACAAACAAATGAGCCTTGGTTGTCTCAGGGGTCCCCCTCTAAGACATCCTTTTCTATTTTCCAGGAATCTGAGTTTCTTTGTTTGGAATTTGATGAAGTCAAGGTCAATCAACTCCTGAAGAAGCTCTCAGAGGTAGAAGAAAGTATCAGCACACTGATGCAGCCAGCGTAACTGAAGATGACGTTGGAAGGAGTTGGAGTTATTGAAGCGAAGGTTTCTGCGTTTCCTTCCTCCTAATCTTTTATTCTTGTGTCTCCATTGGCATTAAATCCTCAAATTAAAATCTTGCCTGCCTCTACTTGCTGAGATTTCTTTCTCTCTCCCGTTCATTCACTCTTAGTTTCTCTAGTGACTGGGTTTTCCTACTTTACCATGCATAAGAATCACCAGGGGGCACATATAAAAACTTGAAAGGAAAAAACAAAACAAAACCGCAGAAGCATAGGGCTCTATCTCAGAGATTCTGGTTCATTAGGACTAGCGTGATGGCTGTGGTGTGCAGTGGAGTCGGTTTCAATTCACAGTGACCCTGTGGAGGGTTTCCAGGGCTGTAAATCTTTACAAGAGCAGAAAGCCTCATCTTTCCCCCACAGAGTGACTGGTGGATTCTAACTGCTGACCTTGTGGTTAGCAATCTAACATATGATCCTCTATGATTTCAGGGCTCCTTAAGACTAGGGTGGTAGTGGTGGTGGTGTGCATTGGAGTCAGTTCCAACTCACAGTGACCTCATATAGGATTTCTGCAGCTGTAAATCTTTATGGAAGCAGAGAGCTTCATCTTTCTCCCGTGGAGCAGCTGGTAGTTTCTAACTACTGGACTTGTGGTTAGCAGCCAAATTCATAATCCACTATGATACCAGGGCTTCTAAAGACTAGGGTTGCTGATGTTCTTAAGTTTCACCAAGTCGGTTCTGACTCATAGCATTCCTGTATAGAGTTTCTGAGGAGCAGCTGGTGGGTTTTGAACTGCTGATCTTGTGGTCAGAAGTCCATTGCCTATCTTACAGCATCATACCAGGAGTCCAGTACTATGGTTGTTGTTGTTGTTAAGTGCTGTGGAGTTGGTTTCAACTCAGAATGACCCTTATGGGATTTCTGCAAAATCCGTGTGGGAGCCATGTCTGGCATCCCCTGGTTTCACAAAGGGGAATCACTCTCAAAATAAAGCCAAGGCCTATTCCTATGAAGTGAAGGTCAGACGTGCTTCCACCCTACAACCTTCTTTACCTTATTCTGACAGCAACCATCCCTCCCACAGAAGTCTACTTCACATCTGGGTTCAATAATCCACTGCAATGGCTCATAGTTCCCGAATAAACTCACAATTATGGGGCTTCTTAGGGAAGTGAACAGGATCAAAACTAGTTCAGGATGCAGCAGTTTTCCAGTCAAGAACATCTCTTGTCTGCTATACTGCAAACATGCCTCACTCTTATCTTCAGCCTCTCAGCCAGGGTCCCTTGGTGTCTGCCCTTCTTGGGCACGTATTACAAAGCTCTTTTAGCCAGTCTGTGAATGCTCAAAGGGTATATCCTGCAAGCCAGTCTCCTGCCTGTAGGAACTTAGTTTTATTCAGTCCATGGGCTCACAGCTCACAGCTGCTCTGTCTCCATGCCATTGGCTCTGCAGTTGCCTCTGCTGTCGCTGTTTCTCTAGGTAAGGTTCTCACACTCCACTCATGCACTTCCTTCTTGATGGTCCTGGGATCTTCCATTCTTGCTTCTGAAATGGGTCCTTTTAAACCTAGCTGGATGGCAAAACTAACCAATCCCTGCCTTAGAGTCCTGTATATCTTATTATGGTCCCACACATAGTGGTTATGAGTCGGGCTGCTAACCTCAAGGTCAGCAGTTCAAACCTACCAGGTGTTCCTCAGGAGAAAGAGGAGACTTCCTGCTCCTGTAAAGATTTACAGTCTCGGAAACCCTGTACAGAGTTGCTATGAGTTGGAACTGACTCCACGGCACGTTACCTACCAACCCAATCACTTGGTGGGAATTAAGAAGACTTTGGATGGAGAAGTCCTATCAAGTAAATTCAAGGCACTCATTTTCCAAGGAGTAATTAGTTGGTTTGAACTGCTGATCTCATAGTTAACAGTGCTTATACTACATTGCTACACCAGGAGTCCAGGACTAGGGTTGTTGTTGTTATGAAGTGCCATTGAGTCAGTTCCAACCCATAGCGACCCTAAATAGGGTTTCCAAGGAGCAGCTGGTGAGCTTGAACTGCCAACCTTGCAGTTCAAACGGCTTTGCAGTCTGGCGCATTAACCCACAGCGCTACACCAGGACTATAGGACTAGGGTAAGGTCTAGGAATTTGTTCTTTTTCTTTTAACAAGCAACTCAGATTTCTCTGATGCAATGGGTTCAGAACCACAACTTTGGTAACCCTTGCTCTGCTGACTTGTTCTCAGGTGGGAGTTTAGGAATTTATTAATGGAAAATCATACAAGAATTAGAAAAAGAAGAAGAAACATTTTAGCCATGCAAATTCAGGGCTAACCTAGAGTGCCATGTGTCCTGAGCTGAGGCCTAGAGGAGTCTGCCTAACCTAGACAGGGTTTACCTGAATCGAATAAAGCCTGAGATGATTCTGGAACTGATGCGGGCATTTGGAATAGTTCTAACTTGGGAGGTCTGGTTTGATCTGAGCTACTAACACACTCAGGCTTTTCTGGAACCTATAACTGAACTGGTCTCTTCATAAAGGCCCTTCGCATGCTTCAAGTCAAAATTACAAGTGGTTGGAAATATCTTCTGAGGTGGTGTGGTTCATTCACCATAAAAATCTTACCTAGTCATCAAATAAAACCACCTCAGGAAAATTTATTCAAGAAAAACTAATGTACTGAAAATTAGGTTCTAGTAGCTTTCTGCTCTGACATATATTTACACCCTTTGAAACCTCATACAGGGTTCTATGAGTCAGAAGCGACTCAGTGCTACTTGCAACAACAGTAAAGACTTTACAACAAACACCAGAAGTATTCCAAGAGAAGGAGACCATAATTAGTATGTTGAGATTGTGGTCCTTATTGAGCAAGTTTTTTCATTGATACTGATAACATTAAGATGCCTCAGTTGTCTTTGGGATGTAATATGTTCAAAAAAAAATGTGGTTATCTTGGTCTGTGGTTTCAGCATGTGTCAGTTCTAATAAATTTATTCAAGGGTAGAAGTAAGTCCTCTCTGTTAAACAGATTCTCCTAAATCAGTGTGGAGACATTTTAGGAACTCTTCCAACACCTAAGCTGAAAATACTGACTTCCTCTGATTAAAACAGTTAGTAAACAATGATCAGAAGATTTTAAATGTAGCTCCTGTGGGCCCTTCAGAAAACATCTTGAAACAGTACTATAAATACATTCAGAAAAGACATGTGGTTTAACCAAAGAACTTGCCTTTTGTTCCCAGGGCTACCACCATGTGATTCAAGAGAATTTAAATAATGTCTCCTGCTATAAAATGGAGGAGAAGAATATCTCATTACTTAATGAGATTCCAGATGTCCTTGTAAGGAAGAACCATAGCTACCGCATTCGTACTGACTCACTTGTCTCACAAGAATCTGGGGAAGCATGAAGTAACCCTGCATGAGCCACAGGGAGAATAAATCACTGTCCTTTAAAGTTTAGGCTCTCCTGTAAAAGGAAGGGCTGCAAAAGTGAGCATGGGTTTATGCCAGCATTTTACTTCTATTATATCCCAAAACTCGAGATAATTATAAAAACGACATTAATGTATTTTGAGTTTTCCGGAATAATCAATTGTTGAAGGTGTACCCTCATTTAATATTAACACTTTTGAGTGTTTTGGAGCAGAATTTGTTTGTTTGTATTTGATATTTACTGGAGATTTTTTTAATTACAAAAAGATTAGGGCTGTTGGATGATCAGAGCTCAACTAGAAGAAGAAAGAATTAGAAAAAAGGAATCATCTGATACATTTGATGAACTTGATCTACACGTATGGATGCAGTAGTTCAAAAGAGGGAACAAATCTTTATAGCGAGGATCATTCCCACCCCCTCCATACACAGAGTAGACAGGGATGGGCAACTTGGACATTGGCTACCCAAAATGGGGGGGGGAGGAGTACAAAGGCAAGAAATGAACTCTGGTAGCATAGTGCTTATGAATCCGGCTGCTAACCTCAGGGTCAGCAGTTCAAAACTACCAGCTGTTCCACAGGAGAAAGATGAGGCTTTCTGCTCTTGTAAAGATTTGCAGCCTTGGAAACCCTGTACAGGGTCGTTATGAGTCGGAACAACTCCATGGCACAGCAACAACAACAAAGGCAAGAAGTGACTGGCTTACAAGCTTTCAAGAGGGAGCCTAGATCCAGAGGGCACCGAGGAAGGTAGAATCTCTACTGAGTAGTGTATCCAATCTGTCTGGGCAGGCTGATTGAAAGGACATGAGGCTAGGTCTCTTGTGATACAATAGTGAATAATGTTAACAGGACTGACTGTGAGGGTTGGAAATGTAAAGGTAGATGTTTTGTAGCAAATGGAGGGGAGTGGTTGATCTTGCAGTCCAGGAGCAGAGGTCCCTGGGACCATCAACAGAGAAGAGCAGAGAGCGGGACCCTACCCAGAGAAGCAGTGATGCCTGAGATGGAGACAGAGATGATGGCATGGAGAGATGGAGTGTCTGGGGACAATAGACCCAGAGAGGGAGAGGGGCTGTGTGCTGACTACCCGGTGGCAGGCTTGCAGGGTATACCCTTTGGTTGGTTCATGATGCATGGAGGGGATTATAACCATGGCAATGAAATGATATATGTACAAAATGATGAATGTAAAAGTAATGTTCTCCCATGTAAACCATCACATAATTCACAGTAAAACCTTAAAAAAAAAAAAAAAATAGGGCTGTGCATGTATGAGGATCCACTGTGCAGATGGTTTATGGAGCTAGTTAGTGCCCGTGGCTGATACCCATGCTGCGCCCCCCAACACCTTTCTGTTTGTGAGAAACATGGCTGATGATACCAGGTCTGAAGCTATATGTCAAGAATTTGGTCACTATGGTCCTATAGTTGATGTGTATGTTCCACTTGATTTCTATACTCGACGTCCAAGAGGATTTGCTTATATTCAGTTTGAGGATGTTCGTGATGCCGAAGATGCTTTACATAATTTGGATGGAAAATGGATTTGTGGACGTCAAATTGAAATCCATTTTCCACAAGGAGATAGGAAGACACCAAATCAGATGACAGCCAAGGAAGGAAGGGATGTGTACAGTTCTTTACACTATGATGATTATGACAGATTACATGCGTTCCAGA